TGTCTGCTGGCCCCCTCCTGGGTGTCTGTCCTCCTCCTGAGCCTCCTCCCAGTTCCCACCCATCCCTCCCTCTGTTGGTTCTAAGGCGCGAGGACGCGCCTTCCTGGAGGGGTGCGAAATGTCAGGATTGGACTGTCTTTGTTTTGCTTTGCTCCCCATGTGCTTCCTGTGACCCAGTTTCTCCCTCATTTGCCCTTATTTGGTCGTTCCTGTTCCTGTCCTCGTTGTCTCTTAATTAGTCATTCTATTCACCTGTGTTCCTCCCAATTCCCTCGTTATTCTGTGTATTTAAGCCCCAGTCTGTTCAGTCTGTGTTTGTCGGGTCTACATGTTGTGAACGTGTGTCATCTTCCCTTCCTGGTGTGGATTACCCCTGTTTGGATTTGATAAAAGACTGTGTTTGCTATTTTACGTCTCCATCGTTCCTTCCGGCAGCGTATCGTGACACCTTTCTGATATGTATAGCCAGCCATTCCATCAATTTTCTGATTGTATATCAATCAAGTCCCATCTTTTTCCTTATTGAATATTCAGTTTCACTCAGAAAAATTTTACATTTAGACTTTAATATTATTTAATAGTCATATTTTCATAATAACCTAACCCTAACACCCTGGAACTGATACTATTACTGTACCATCATAAGACTTTCTGTCTCTCTATCTAGAGAGGTTATTATAGTTAACTAAAACTAAAACCATAAAAAAAGAATTTTGTTACTTGAATTGAAATAAAGGATAACTGAAATAAAATAATAAAAATCTTAAACTTATTATGCTTTTTTTTTTTCATCTTGATGCCAGGGCAACATTTCTCATTTTCATTTAGTTTAACTTGATGTGCTAAAACAACTCAAACTAAAACCTAAACAAAATGAATAAAAACTAAATTTATGCATATTTTTAAGAAAGAAAAAAAACTAATAAAAAATAGCAAAAATACGCAACTAAATTACTAAAACTAGAACTAAAATAGAAAATGGACCATATAAAAATTAATTCAAAATATTAAATAAAACTATAATTGTATCTCTGTGATACTAAACACTGGTACATATTTCCTTTCTCAGTACCAAGAATATACCTCACCACTTTATCAAAATTAAAATAAAAAAACACTCAACTCATTATAGATCAATGCTGGACTGTGGCAATACTCTGTTTAATAGAAATGCCTCTAATGCTAAATCTAATTCTAATTTACATCTCCCCATGTCGTATAATAGAAACCCACTTCACACCAGGTCGGCCAGGCATCTTTAATGCTGTTAAATGGAGCTCAATTATATCCAGTCTATCAAAGTCACTTGGGTGCTCTCTTTCCATCTCCGCTCTAATTTCTACCCATTTCCACTTAGGAGAAGCTGAGAGGCATGAAGACATCAGGTGGAAGCCATCTGGCTATCTCATTCCTCTTTCAAGCTGATTTTCTGAATCATATTTCTGTAAAGAGGGTGAGCCACAGGTAGCAGATTGAACTCATATCCCCCCATTTGGGATATCAGAGGAGAGGGTAGATTCCTACAAGAACGTTCCGGTCCACAGACACCTGTGGTCTGCCTGATTACAAGCCCTGACATCTAACATTGAGGGAGTGTGTAATTCGACTGGCATCTGCTGATGAGGCTCGCTGTGTGTGTGAATGCATGTGTGTGTATGTGTGAACAGCTCATCCATGCAAAACAGCGACCTCGTGTAACTCCTGCGTAGCGTTCATCTGCTTTTGGTCACGTATACACACATACACACAATCACATGCATGCATGCAAAGGCATGAGTTTACATGTTTATACCATATAGACACACACATGCAAAATGATAAACGAATTGCCTTGAACAAACCTTCATACCACAAACATCTCAACAAGAACAGATCAAGTGATAACCACATTCACACATGCGCAAATTATGTGCATATGTGCTAAATCAGAAGAGCATCATGTGCACACATTATCGCATTGGGCGTTTGCTGGTGTCAGCTGCCCTGTTAAGGCCAGAGGGCAGAGCAAGGTCAGCACCAGGAACTGGGGCTGAAATAATAGATTGCATAAGCACTTCACCAAAGAGAATAGAGAGAAGATAGGCTTGGAAAAGGAGGTTATGAGGAGAGATGATTAGAAAAAAAATTGGATGGGAGGCGTGCAGCAGAGGAAAGAGAAAAAATTTATATGAGAGAGGCAAGGGACGGTCAAATGGATTGGAGGAGGATGAATTTGGGCACAATATCTCCATCCAGGTAAAAATCAGAGAGTGGAAAGTAGAAATTAGCCTCTTGGATTGGATGAAATTGATTTTGGAAGGTTGAAGGGCCATCCTGAGACAATAAGTCTATATATGGAGAAATTATAATAATGAAGAAATTAGGAAAATGGCTCACTGTGTGTGTGTGTGTGTGTGTGTGTGTGTGTGTGTGTACACACTATCATTCAAACATTTGGGGTCTTTTTTGTAAGAAATGAATACTTATATATAGCAAGGATGCATTAAATTCAAAAAGTAAATATATTTTTACAAAAGATTTCTATTTCTGTTACCCTTTTATGTGTACAATGGCTAAATGTATATACATATCTTTGTAACGAATCAGCTCATGGGAAATATGAATAATTAATCATAACTAGTTATAATTAATTATGAATATTTTAGATCCGCTGTAGATATTTACTTGACCTCTCAAGGTCAACTGTCTTGTCAATTCTAAGAACATTAATTTCCTGGTTAAGGGAAATAACTTTCTTACTGTACAACTCTACACAGAGCTTGTAGCATAAATCTGCATGATTAGGGACTCCAGTTATGAGCAAACTGTGTGTGTGTGTGTGTGTGTGTGTGTGTGTGTGTGTACACACTATCATTCAAACATTTGGGGTCTTTTTTGTAAGAAATGAATACTTATATATAGCAAGGATGCATTAAATTCAAAAAGTAAATATATTTTTACAAAAGATTTCTATTTCTGTTACCCTTTTATGTGTACAATGGCTAAATGTATATACATATCTTTTATGCAAAATGTTATTTTTATTGACCTTAATTTATATAAGGGTGGGAAATGGATGCAAACTAAGCACAGCATTGAGTCCTCAATGATTATGAACAAAAGTGGGAAGCATTATAGTGCAATAATAAGAGAAATTGCCGAAATTCAAACTATATAACACTCCCTCCTCTTTTTTAATGCTCACATGCAATAACCTTTACTGAATCTCATTAAATTTGGCTTCCACATCCTGTCATTTTGTTTTCCACCCAATCAGATTATCTTCTGACACCAAGCGGTCCATAGAGTATTCCTGTCATCGCAGGAAAGGGGAGACAGTAGTGGACTCACAGATGCGCCTGTAAACTCTGTAGCAGATGGCACTTCCTGTTTGGCCAGACTGCCGTTCTTGTGTGTTTGATTGACATGATGTTACTCTCAGTCAGCAAATACACACATTGTCCCCTGATTTTACTCTCCATCTCTACCAGAGCGAGAGTGATTTGACCTCTTTCTCTCACACATACATGCACTCTTACCTTTTCCCTCTTTAATGTCGGGGAAGGAAAGCCATGTCCAGTAAAGAGAACTCTTGATTATTTTTCTATATGTATCTCTCTCTTTTACACTCTCTCTCTCTCTCTCTCTCTCTCTCTCTCTCTCTCTTTTTGACAGGCATTTTTCAGGTCAACTCACACAGAAAGAAGTATAAAAGGGGTCTAAAAATATCTTTATAATGCATTCGCTGACAAAAAATGATTTGTTTCGTGAAGTTACACTCCTTTCTACATTTCCACTTCTATCTGCACCTGTTTAGAAACCCGAGATGCTATTTTGATTCTGCAAGGTTATATTAAATTGATCAAAAGTGACAGTAAAGATATTTAGATTTTTGGATATTTCAAATAAATGCTGTTTATCAAAGAAAAAAGTATCATGGTTTCCACAAAAATAGTTTTTTTTAACATTGATAATAACAAGAATTGTTATTTGAGGACCAAAAATGATTTGTTTCATGAAGTTACACTCATTTATACTCTTCCTCATCTATCTGCACATGTTTAGTTTACACTGGAATTCAGAAACCTGAGACCACTAGTGAAAATCTAATTAGCATAAACCAACAGTAACATTTTTTGGAACAAAAAAAAAAGTATTTTTTTTAACATTCTGTTTATTTACCAGTTTAATTTAGATAATGAATCCCAGATTTTCATTGTGGTCTCAGTCTTTTGAAACAAGACTTTTCAAAGGTTAAATGAAATTTTTGATCACAAACATTCAGAACATGATAATAATGAGAGATGGTGTTAAACATTTATTTTTGTGCTGTGTATGTATAGAAAGGCTAAACTTCACGGTTTGCACACAAAGACAAGAGTGTCAACACTGTGTGTGTATGTGCGAGCACAGCACCCTCTGTTCCTGTTTCCCTAGAGGGTGTTTGTGTGAGAACATGAACACGTACCTGGTGTGTTATGCCCTCCTTCCCTCAGGTCCTCTTCTCTACCACCTCTCACATTTTCAAAGCGAGGCGGTTGATAGCTTGACCAGAGCACGAGGAACGTCAGAGGAGGGAGGGGGGACTGAGGTGGGAATGGGAATTCTTGTTTTTCATACCTCAGAGGTTACTTCCTGATTCCTCCACATTGATTTTTCCTTCATCCCTGGAATCCAAACAAGCCGTCAGAACGGTATCAAGTAAAGCTGGTGTTAATGAAAGGCCTGCGAGCTGCAGCAGAACAATGGCGAGAGAGAATATTCACAGAGCTAACATCAAACTTCTTTGATCTTGTAGCCGATTTGTGTCTTTCTTGATATTCTGTGTTTATGATGCTTTTTGTTGTTTGCCTTTGCTTTTCTTTTTTGTCACCTTTTGAACAGAATGAGAACAATAACCTCTTGCTGATTTCTTGTTTTTTGCTCTTTCTTGTTTTCTTTTTTGATTTTTCTCTTTCCACAGTAATCTTTTTTTGAATTTTCTCTTTTCTCTTTTTCCCTCCTTTTTGTCTTAACCCTAGGTCCACTCACAAAAAAACATGATGAATCGACACTGAACCAGCCACGAGATGAAGGTATTTTTGTTGCATGTTTTTCCTTTTTTCTTGTATTTTTTGGAAAAGTCTTTTTTGGAAAATGAAAAAGCAAACAGCCTTTCCTTGGTAGTGATGAAGAGTATATGAACCACGAGTGCATATATGTATGTGTATGTCTGTGTGCAATGAGATAAAACTTTCTCTTTGACTTTGAAGAAAGTTCTGACAACTTCTGAAAGTTGTAGATGATGGCAGAAAAAAACTGTATTTTCATTAAATGAGAGAAGAACTGTGGTTTTGAAATGTAATACTCCAATAGTGCTGTCTGAAGCACAATTTTACAGCTGTTGCTTTATAATGTTTTTCAAGACTCAGAGCGATTATTAGGCTTTAAACTTATCTCCAACTTTTCACCATGTTTTGTCAGTGTGAACAGTTCTCTGGATGCGGTAGTAAAGACCAGCCAATAAATCTAAGAAGTAAAATGCTACCATGGGGAGAAAAGCCAGAAAAACACAGATACACACACACACATGGATCAGCACATGTTGTCATCTTTTATCTTTTTTAGCTCTTTTCTTAAGAGCAGTGTGTGGTTTTTTGCCCTGATGTTCTTTCCTGTGTTTACGAAAGTTTTTTTTTGTTCTTCTTCTTCTTCCCTCTCATTCTTGCTGGGTTTTTTATAGTTCTTTGATAATGTGAAAAAATGGGATTGGAAAAGCTCTGAAAATAACTTTCATGCAAATTGACACTCATTGGTTTTATTGTATTGATAAAATGCCGGTTGGATCCTTAAAAGCTTGTGGCCTCTCTAGAACTGAATTATTGACCCATTTGATTGTAATTAGTACTGAATATCTAACTATAACCCAGTCATGACTAGTCTTCATTACCACTTCATTAATAGATTATGAAGATAAGTGTGGAGAAAAAAGATCTGGGATGAAGGACAGCCACAGAGATTGAATGTGAATGTCCATCTGTCTGTCCATATGTCAAATCATAAATAAAATATATAATTATATACAGTTTCATATTTTTTTTACAAGTTAACATAATTAGTATGTACTTTATGTAATTTTATACTTTATTTATGAATTGTTTTACTAAATAAGTAAGTATATTTTGCCAGATTAGGTCTGTGGACATTTTTTTTTTTTTTACAGATGGGGCAAAAATGACAAAATGAGGTTGTCCTTAGTCGGAAACACAAACTTTATAAATCATTAAAATGTTGAGATTTGGGGTTTGGTTGGTTGAGGTTTGGTCTATCATCAACATAATTAGCTTTGGTACAAGCAATAGAGTTCTGTCTTCATTTAGCTACAATAGGTAAATGTATGTGAGTGTTTGTCAGGTGTTTATGGGAAATGCTATTTGTGAACATGGCAGTGTTAAGCTGCTGAAAACAGGATCGATTTATTGCTGAGGGAGAAAGAGTGACATCTGAGCACGAGTTTGTGCATGTGTTCGAGTGAGTGAGTGCGTGATTAGTGTAAGCTTCAGCCGAAGGCCAAGTGTCGAGACAAAGGTGTGTGTCCACCTGAGCCCAGCTCATTATTCAGGCTGTGTCACATCATTATCAAAGTGAACACACACTCAAACACACTTACAGCTTCATGCTCGCTTTCTCCACCGTCTCTCGCGCTCCATCTGTATCACGCACACTTTATAACATTTTTCAGCCAGACAGCATCGAGCACGACCTCTCACTCAACACCAGTCTATCAACACTTCAGTCTAGATCAGGTGGATTGAAAAGCAAAGACTTTAGGACCCTGAATCCATGCATCCCTGTCCACAACAGACCTAACTGCAATGATACAAGCCGTCTGTTTAGGGGTTATGCTGTTCATGGCTCACCTCACTCAGGGTCTTTCCTTTTAGTATATATGAGACTTACGCAACAGAGCAGAAAGAATGTTCGTGTTTTTTTAAGGTTTGGAGATCAGTTAATGTTATTACTCATAAACCAGTTTATCAGCCAGGTTTTTTTATTTTTTATTATTATTTTTTTTATTTTTTTATTATTATTATATTTAGAGATATGTTCCCGTGTAATCTAAACAACCAAAAATGTTCATACAATTCCCCAGATTTGTCAGTTCCAAAGTTTACTGACAACTTTGGCAATGCAAAAACTATTTTTAAATTTAATGTAAAATAATGTGAAATAAAGTAAATAATGTGAGAAATAAGAGTTGTGTCTTTTACTATCATTAAATTATAACATATACACAACCATTCAAAAGTTTGGGGTCAGTATAATTTTATTACAGCAATTTTGTTTATTTATATATATATATATATATATACAGTGGGTACGGAAAGTATTCAGACCCCTTTGAAATATATTAAAATAGGTTTATTTTTAAGGTTGTTCTTCATTGGTTACTGAACAAGTTTTTCACGGATGGTTACCCTGAATTACAAAACTGTGGCAACTGCAATCAGCGGCTGATTGGTTGAGGAGCTTCAACCATAGTGCAGCAGCACAACTTTGTGTAGTTCAGCATAACGAAGCTAGATTGGGTGGTGCGTTTGGCAGCAGTTGTATCTTAACTTCTTTCCACAATTTGCTGGCCTTTTTTGAAATATTTGTCCATATGACAGAATTAATTTTCTAGTGCAGCTCATTGTCACTCACAGCCTCATATAAATCAGTCACTATTTTAAAAATTACATCTCATAAATATAAGGGAGAGTGACCAAAAACAACATCAGTGTAGTATAATCAGACGTCATGGGAAATGATGCATCACATGCTCAAAGGTAAATTCTACACCGTCAAAAAAAAAAAAAAAAAAGAGAGAGAGAGATGAATGTTTGTTTAAAGGTGACATATTATGAAAATCTGACCTTTCCAGGTTTTAAGTGCTATAATCAGGACCCCGGTGCATCTACCAACCAAGGAAAGGTGAAAAAGATTAACCCAGTAACTTTGTTTTGGTAAGCCGCGTATAGTGAGAAGCAGTGTTGGTTTAATTTAATTTATATACTATAAATAATATTCATTTTAATTTTAGCTTGTTTTAGTCATTTTGTTATGTGCTTTTCGTTTTGTTTTTTTGCTATTTAACTTTATTTTTAATTTCAATTTTCATAATCTTAGTACTTCAACTTAAACTTATTTTAATTCTGTTAGTTGCCAAGGCTACTCTTTTTTTTAAGTTTAATGATTTTATTTTATTTCAGCTTTATTTAAATTAAGGAAAGCCAATTTTTGAAAGCCAGTTTTAGTTTTAGTTAACAGTAACAACTCTGGTGACAAGACGTTATGTGCTATATATTTAAGTAGGACAGCAATCCTTCAGATAAAAACAAATTGACAGCAAATCTGTACAAGTGGGATGATCACACACCATATAGATTTGCTCGTTTATTTACTTGAGCTAAAAGGCACCTGTCAGAGTTTGCCTCCAGATCTAGGCCTAATTGATAATATTCTCAATATTTTTTTATATCTGACATCTAAGTCTACTCAATACTTTAGCAAAATGTTTATGCAGCATAATATAAGCTACATAATAAGAAGTAGCATAGTTTAAGTTTGCAAAGAGACCATTGAAAATTAACTTTGCTGTTGTTGACACGTCGTGATGAGATGTTCTGTAACCTCTACAGTGTTCAGGACTGCACATACATTCATCATTAGAACTCTAGTGCCACAGAAGTGCCGACACACTCCTGCAAGCAATAGATTTGCTGTCGACCTGAACGCACACACACACACAGAGTTCCCTTTGGGATTGATTGTGGGACGCAGAGTGCGGTGTGTGTGTGTGTGTGTGCGCTTATGTTTGTTCACTCGTGCTGTGTCTGATGAAGGTGCTGAGCTGGAATCACCTAGAGCAGTGGTTCTCAACCTTTTTTTCCACTGGGCCGCACTATGGTCCAAGTGCAAGTCTCACGGGCCGCACGCATATCATTTACATATTACGTCACCAATACAAACCAACCAGATTTATAATAGCCTATTATAACGGGTCAAACCGAAAGTTGATGCCGAAAGTCCTGCACTCTCCTACTTTCACTGCTGCGACTACTCTTGTTTGTATGCGTTCCTTCGCTGGCATTTTCCACATTAAATTTTCTGATCTCTTTTCAGGGACAAATTGTGCCCCCCCCCCCTCTTTATTGCAATTTTGAGATAAGTAAGGAGAAATCATATCCCAAATAATAAATAAAGTTGAAATTGTGAGATATAAAAACCACAAATGCAAGAAATTCTTGTGCAAGCCACAAGTTAGAGAAAGAAACACAAGTTTAAGATGTGTAGAGTGAGAATCAGTGTTAGTTTAGTATCATTTATATACTGTTATTGTATTTATTATTATTAGTTTGAATTCTCTTTTTTATTTTATTTTGTTTTAGTCATTTTGTTATGTGCTTTTGGTTTTTCTATTTAACTTTTTTTTTGTTTCAGTTTTAGTAATTAGTACTTCAACTTTCAACTTTCCGTTTTCATTTGAGTTTTTTAGGTTTAAGTTTATTTCAGCTTTATTTCAATTAAGTAAAGTGATTTTTAATATTTTTAGTTTTAGATTAGTAGTTTTAGTAGTTTTAGTTAACAATAACAACTTGACATCAAATTATAGCATTAGAAAGCCTAAATTCACTTGTAGCATTTAAAATGATTGATTTACATTTTTTATTTAGTCAAAATAAAAAATAATTTTAATATCACCCATTTGTAAGTTATTGGCCATTGTTAGAAATTAACAATTGGTCCCTCGATATCTCTTTGCCGCCTTGAAGTTCTCAGTTCCTTAAAGTGTATACGGCCGGGAAGCAAGAAAACACACATTCAATGGTATTCTCAATACTTCAACTTTATTCATAGATACCATAAAATAAAAATAATTAACTTATTAGTATTGACAGAATTTTAAGACCTGCAATCTCTAATATTACTTATTTTCTGTGTCCTACAGTTGCTGTAGGCTATTTCTCCTTTACTGCATCTCTGTCTGTCTTTCTCTCTGTGTGTGTGTGTGTGTGTGTGTGTGTGTGTGTGTATTAGCACTTTCCAGCTACCA